TTAAGTATAAATCAAGCTGCAGAAGGGTGTTAGGAGTTAGGAAGTCACTTTCTGTCCAGGTTTGGTCATTCCCCAGCTTATGTTGTGGAATTTCCCTGTACTTGTCCACCAGATGAAAGGGTCAACTGGGGCAAGGTGGGCCAGAGCCGGTGCCGGGGCAGCAAAGCAGTATTATAATAAAAGGACAGTTGGGATGGGCTCTTGGTTTCATGGATGTGTTTCTGGGCCTTAACCCATCCAGATCCCCTGCCAGGCATCCCCAATAAGTTCAAAGGAATCAGCACAAAGGATGTGAGTCAGAAGGGTGAGAGCATCCTCCCATCCCTGTGCCCACTGAGGGCACTATGCTCTACCATGTCTTGGAAGGCCTGGTATCAGGACTTCTGGCAATTGGGTCCCAGACCATTGCTAGGAATCTCCCAAGATGGAACCGGAAAAACCCTAGAGACCCAGAAAGTCATCTGAACCAGGGGGATCCAAGAGCATGCATATGATAAATGAGGGATGACTCATCAGAGGCACAGAAAGGCATGCCATGCAACTGTTGGAGTTTCAAGGTCCTTTGTGGAGTTACTTCGCCAACTAGAGATGAAAAGAGCAAGGAAACCAAGCGCTTTGTCTCCCACCCATACAGGCACTGGCGGTTTGAACTTTCCTTTGGGGACCTTCTTGCCTCCATAGGGAGTAGCCTTAGGCAGAGATCGTCAGTTGTCCTCCGAGATCCAGCTCGGTCCACCGGGAAACTCAGAAACCTTGGCTAGAAGGAAGTAAAGAGTTAACCCTAGTCCCTCACCTTGTTGGGCCACGGCAGTCTGATGTTTTTCCTTGGGGCCTTCCAGCATGCTGAAGTGTAGCCTCAACCAGAGCTTTCAGTTCCCACAGCTTGCAACACAGTCCACCGAGGGTTACCAGTTAAGAAATAAGAAAGAGAGAGAGAGACAAAGAGAGGGAGACATCTTGGATATCTCGGTGGAACCTCCAAAAATGTTAGGACACAGATAGGGTGAGGGTGGATGGTTGGAGAGAGTAGGGAGGGGAGGAGAACACTGGTAACCCAGAGATCCAAGTAATTGCAAAGACTTGCAACACACAAAGAGGTTTTAAAAAAAGAAAAGTTTATTTAAAAGTAAATTAGAGAAAGAGAAGGGAAAGAGAAAATTCATCTCCCCAAAGTGGGGGAGGAGACCAAAGCCTGGAAGCACGGCAACAGCCATAGCTCAAAGAGCACATGGCCACACCAGAGTCTAGCAAGGCAATGGCCCTGTGTTTTTAAAAATTTGACATAAATGGCATTATGCCATCAACGTTCTTTTTTAACTTGCTGTCTCCACTTAATGTGTTTATGATTTACCCACATTGATACCTGTAGATCCAGTTGCTTCTTCTTTTCTTTGTAGACTTTGTTGAATGAATAAATCACAGCTCTTTTGTTTATTTCCCTGATGAGGGGCATGTACACTTTCACTTTTTTGCTATGACAGCACAATGTTACATTGAACATCCTTGTATATGTGTCTCCTTGTTGTATATACATGAGATTCTCTAGAGTAGATACCTGGAATTGGAATTGCCAAGTCAAAAGGCAAAGCATCTTTACCTTTATTCAGCATCGCTAATTGCTTTACAAATATTTTACACTCATATGAACCCTAACCTGGAGTTGCTGTTCTTCGTCATCCTAGCCAAGATATCATCAGGCTAATTATTTTTTACAATCAGATGGGATGAAAATATATCTCATTTTAATTCTAATTTGCATTCCTATTATTACTAGGCAAGCATCCTTCCTAACAGTTATTGGTTATTTGGATTTTTCTTTTTGTGAATTTCCCTTTCATATCTTTTGCTTAGTTTCCTTGTGTGACTTATCTCTTTCTTAATAGTATTTGAAGCTCTCCATATATCTGAATGCTAATTCTTTTTTGGTTACACGAGTGACAGATGCCTTCATCCAGACTCTGACTCTACTTTTAACATTCATTTGCTGTCTTTTTGTTTGTTTATTTTGGTACAGAAGTGTTTGATTTTAATGCAGTCAGGTTTGTTTATCTTTTCCTTTAGGGTTTGTGCTTTTTATTTCTTCCCTTTTCCCAATGTCATAAAAATTATCTCCTATTTTTTACCCAGTAGTTTTGCATTTTTAAAACATTCATCTATTGTTTAATACAAGGTAGGACCCTAATTTTATCTTTTTCCACATGGAACCCAGTGGTTCTTGTCCCTCATGCTGAAGAACTCCTCCCTTCCCATCAGGAAGCAAGCCTGGACTCCCACTTTGTAATCACTAAACTTTGTCTCTACCCATGCCCCCATACCCAACTGTTTGAATTGCTACTGTTTATGTTTTATAGTGGCATCCATTAAGGCAAGTCATATACTGCTCTTCTTCAAAATTGTCTTGGCTGTTTTGTGTGTTTACTCTGCCATCGGATTTTGAGATCAGCTTAAATGGCCAGGTCAGGAAAAACCTGGAACATCATGTCATGGACAGTTTCAAGCAAGGAGATGACACGATTAGCTTTATATTTTCTAACACTCATGAAGCTATATGGGGGTTAAATTTGAGAAGATCAGACTGGAAGCAGGAATAAAATAAAGTGTGGGGGCCCAGACTAGTCAGTGGCAAGAGAAGTGGACAGGGAGGAGGTATGCAGGTCTTGATGGCTGTAATGGCAAGTGAGAAAGGGAAGTGAGAAGCAAAACACCAAGTCTTAGTCTGGGAGGAGCCAAAGAACTCCCCTTATTCCAAGCCAGGTGACTGAGTGACCAACAGTGCCTCCACCAAGGCTGGCAAGATGGAGAAGGAGGCTGTACTGCCCTTGGGGTATCTTAGGAAAGGCAAATGGAGAGATCAAGGCACAGATGGGCATATAGACCTCAGGCCAGGAAAGAGAACTACAGTAAAGATTTAAGAGGCATCATCTTATCTACTCAAATGCAAAACAGGAGCCAAAGAGGGAGCCTGTGTAGACAATTCCAGCATGAGGGACTGTTAGACAATGGAGCTTATGGAGGAGACAGGGTGACAGTGATTGAAGAGGCACAGGGAGGAGGAGAGTGTAGCATCATGGCTGCCCAGAAGGGAGGGCGGTTCAAGAAGGGGGTCATCCTTAGCTCAGGTGCCAGGGGCCCTGGGGAGGCGGTTGATGAGCTGTCAGTGGTTTGGCAGAAAGGAGGTCAGTGGATGTGTCGTTAAGTACAGAAGTCAAATCTTTGGAGTGACTGGAGAGGTGTGAGGGCAGAGGAGCACAGACCTATATTTGCTGGGAGACTATCTGGTAAAGGACTTGGCTTCCTTGTGCCTGTAGACTGGAGGAAGGAGCTAGAGAAGGGAGAAGCAGAAAGCAAGGCAGTGGATTCTCAGAGAAGACAGGTAGGACCAAGAGGAGAGATAGGCCCTGGATGAGGAGCCCCCATGCCCAGGCCTGGCAGGAAGGCCAGTGTGAATGGAAGTGTGTGTGGCCACTGTAAGGGTGACTGTGAGAGGACCATACCTGACCACCACAGTTTTCTCACTGAAGTAGAGAGAGGTATTGTTTGAAGACAGAGGTCTAGGATTTGCCAGGGGGGCTAAGGAGAGAGGTGATATTTGGGAATGTTGCTGAAGAGAACAATGAGAAAGTTGGCCCAAGTGGGGAGATGATGAAGGGGCCTGTGCAGGTTGGGGTTTGGAGGGGTCACAGCATGGGTGAGACAACTAGTGGGATGTGAGAGAACTCAGCCGGCAGCAGGTATTCAGACCTGGAGATGATACCTCGTGAATCCTCCAAAATGCCAGAAAGGGGCTAGACTTCCCACAGTGTTCAGGGAAGGGACACGCATGGGTCAGCATTTTGGATGTTAAAACAAGAATAAGCTAAGCAGGCTAAAGGACATGGGAACCCCACAGGCAACTTGTGGATTAGTGGGATTTTGTGGTGGAGGATCTGGAGCTCTGGCTGGGCCTCAGGCTTGTATGCCCCTCAGGACAGTTCCCTAGCCACGGCCAGGCAGGGGCCCCCTTGACCTGCTCTGTGTTTGATATGCTTTGCAGGAGGTGGCTGAGCCCTTTTGTAGAAACTCTAGCCCATACCACCAGTTTCTGGCCTAGATAGCCAGGGCTGGGTAAATATTTGGGGTTACCTTCCTTGAAGATCTCGCTTCCCAAACCACAGAAACTGAAGAGCCAGGGCCACATTCTCAAAATATAACTGAGGATATGGCCAGCATCAATCTCTGTGTATTGTGCTTGGTGGGGCTTGTGGCCCACAATTCCTTGGCTCTGATGACCTCCTGTTAGCCCCATGAGTGGGTTAAGAAGAACATGGTAATAATTACCATAATAAAATGAATAATGGCTATGAAAGTCCATGTAAGTTACTTCATCATCTTTCCCTAACCATCTGCAAGATTAGTTGAATTATTCCTACTTTTCAGATGAGGAAACTGAGGCTCAAGGAATAAGTTAAGTAACCTGTCCAAAGTTTCCGAATAGTACGTGACAGATCTGGGATCTGAACCCTGTCTGTCTAGCTGTGCTCTTGCTCAGCAAATCTGCTGCTCAGTCCCTTTTCTGTTGAATGCATGGGTAGAAACCAGAAATTGGCTTGAGGGTAAGGGAGTAGAATTAGAGTCAGAAGACACATTTAAGTCTCAGTTCTGTTACTCACCAGCTTTGGATAAGTCATGCTGTAGGGAAACAGGGCCAGGCTGATGATCCCACCTCCATCCATGGCCTTCTCCCTCCAGCCAGTGAGTGCTGTGCACAGCAGAATACTCGCCATCCTGACAGGTGGTTGTCAGCCTTGGAAGTCAATTCCTATATTGGGAGGGAGGGATCAACAGATAATGGGTAGGAAGACACTGGGTTCATATGAACCTTGCCCCACCTGTGACAGCTGGGCCAAGTACCTTTCCCCAAGCCTGGCTACCTCCTCTGAGCCTCTGCACCCCAACACAACCTGCACAGCCCTTCACCCCAGCACCTAATCCCCATCTCACTCTCTCTGCTTTGTTCACAGGCTCCTCTGCTGGCTCCAGTTCTGCCAGGTTCAGCCGGAGGCCCACCTGTCCTGATACGTCTGTTGCTGGCAGCCTCCCCACACCTCCAGTCCCCAGGCACAGGAAGAGCCACAGCCTGGGCAACAAGTGGGTGATGGAGCGAGCCCTCCCTCAGGGCTTCAGACTGGCCTATGTGTGGCCGAGGGCATAGTGCTGGGAAGCACTTGGGCTGGGTCCTTCCCCTTGCTGATGGGAACTCTTGGACCCCCTAGCTGGTATACTCTCCTGGGGCTGGCTTGGGCTTTGGAATAGCTGAGGGCACCTGTGGCAGCACCATCTCCATACCACCCATAGGCATAAATTATGGGCTCAGCAGCTGATGGAGGAAGGGTACAGGGAAGGGCAGGGAAACAACAATAGCGTTTGCCCAAGCCCAGTTAGTGACTCACGGAGAACCCCAAGTGCAGTGGACTTCCATCCAGGGCAGCATGAGGTTTCTTGTGGCATCAGCCTGCAGAGGTATGGGGCCCACACTTGGGGACATGCGTGGGTCCTCAGCTTGACTGGAAGCAACCATGTTTGTGTCCCCAGTGTACTGAGCACAGGAACCCAGACAGATGGGTTCCTTCCTTCCTTCCTTCCTTCCTTCCTTCCTTCCTTCCTTCCTTCCTTCTCCCACTCCCCTCCTCCCTCTTCACTTCCTCTTTCCCTCCTCCATACTTCTCCTTCCTCTCTCCCTGCCTTCCTTCCACCTCTAAGGCCCTAGCCTCGGCTCAGCCCAGGCTGGCCCTTGAGGAGCTCCCAGGCTGGAGGAGAAAGAGTTGCTCTCTGAATATTCTTGGTGCTAGACACTCTGCACATGATGCCTGTCAAGCATGATCTCATTGAATCCCCATGCAGGCCTCTGAGGTAGGTGCTGTTATTACACATTTTAAGAATGAGTTCAATGAGGTTTGACAAGATGAAGTTCTTGCAATGGCAAGGAAGCTTGGAGTAAGGATCTGGACCAGGTGTGTGTGTGACTCTAGAAGCAGATGTGCTGCCCTTGACTTGTGTGGCCTCATCATTCACAAGCACCATTTGTTCACTTGAGCCTCATAGTCATCCTGGGAGACAGGCAGGGCAAGTCTCCTTAGTCCCCATTTGATGGATGGGGAAACTGAGGCTCAGAAAAAGGATGTGACTTGCCCAAGGTCATGCTGTGAGAGAGGGCAGAGCCTGGGCTGTACCATGACTCTGGGTGGAGTCATTTTTCCTGCAGTCATCTACTCAGGCCCCCCCGCCCCAGCAGGTGTAACCACTGTTGCTCTATAGATACGGAGCTCTGCCTTCTTTCTTCCTTTCCGTTTTCTAGTATGATGTGTCAGTTGAGTGTAGTTGAGAGTAAAAGTGCAACATTCCCATCGGAGAAAGCGAGGCATCTACTGGATGACAGTGTCCTAGAGTCCCGCAGCCCCCGCAGGGGCCTGGCCCTCATCTCCTCTTCTGCTGTCACCAATGGACTCTCCCTAGGTAAGCGTCTCCAGCCTGCACACAGCAGGCAGGTGGGCCACAGGCTCAGCGTGCGCTCTGTGTCTGTCTGTGTGTCACTGTGCTACGCCCAGTGGCCCCTCACCACCCTGCAGAGCTGGCTCCCTGCAGGAATTGCTCAGAGCCAGAGAAGCCCTCACTATCCTCCTGGGCTTTGTGAAGAGCCCTGGGTGTATCCTCATCCTGCAGGAAGCCTCCAAGTGTGGCAGGCAGGTGAAAGAAGCAACCAGACATGTGTCTGAGACCAGCTGCCATTGACTAGCAGCTCCCCAAACCAGGCTGTGTCATAATCAGGCTTCTGTCACTGGAGCCACAACCTGTAGGCCCTATAGGGCAAAGCAGGGGAGGCTGCCTAAGGTCACGCTGGGTGGCAGCTGGGTGGGCCACCGGGTTCTCACTTGTGTACTTGTCTTCACACCAAGAAACCAGAAGTAGGGAGGATGAATAATTGGTCTTCGGGGATGCAGTGGCATCACCGAGCATCAGCCAGACATGGTGCTTATGGGATGGAGAGGATTTGACATTTCAAGTCTAGTGTTGGGCTCTAGTCACAGGTCCATCCCCATGTAGTGCCCAGGTCAGCTGAGGGCAGGTGGACATCACTCTGTCATGACTGCCATTAGGCCAGTGCACTCTGATAGCTGTTGCCTTTCAGTGTGCTTGTGCCTTTGTAGTCTGTGTGTCTGTCCGTTTCCCTTAATAGGGAGTCCTCCCAGGGCTGGTGGTTAGACAGTTGCAGAGCTGGGAGTTTGATCTGGTAAGGCCTGTGGAGCAGAGGGCCCAGGAGCATGGGGGTCATGGAGACAGGGAACAGGAAAAACAGGCAGGAATCATATCCCATATCTCTTTGAAAGTAGGCCAGTCTCAGAGGCCATGGGCACTATGAGTCTGGGGGATGCTGTCTCCCATCCCCTGACAGTCTGTGACAGCCAATTTCTGTGTCTGCCTCTTTCCTCAGAGAAGGTCATCCTGTTTGGAGCCAGTCAGGGTTATTCAACAGCTCAGGTCAGTGTATCCAGGGTTCCAAGGTGTGCCTTGGAAGAAGTGTTCTGGGTTCCATATATAGGGAAAAGACTGAGTTAAACAAAGTCTTCTTTCTGGAGACTTTGCTGTGCTGATGGGTGTTAAGAATCCTCAAGGAAGTCATCAGAATCTGCCAGTTCCCACATTCTTTGGTCATGGAACCTTTTTCCTTGGAGCGACTGATGGGACTAGGGTTCTGAGGAATGCCTTCTGGGAAAATCGGCCCAACAGCGCTCAGCTGGTCAGTGGAACAGCTGTTTTACATCCAGGAAACTTTCTCAGCTGTGCCTGTGTCTGGGTCTTGATATTCCTGAGACAGAAAATTCAATCAGATGCTATGCTGTCCAGTAGCCAGGCAGGCAATCACAAGGTTGTTTGGTTCCCAACTACTCAAGTCAGGGCTCTCAAAATGTTTCTCTGTTTGGGGCTGAGTAAGACCCCGAGTAAGTGACTTAGTATGCATGTGCCTTCCTCCCATTGCTCAAACTGATTCCAAGGGTAATGGGGCCTCCTCCCTCCCCACTTTCTCACTGCTTGACCTTGGTGCTCTTATTTTTTATTTTTTATTTTTCTTGAGACAGTGTCTCATTCTGTTGCCTACACTGGAATACAGTGGTATAATCATAGCTCACTGCAACCTCCAATTCCAGGGCTCAAGCAATCCTCCCGCCTCAGCCTTCTGAGTAGCTGGGACTACAGGTGCACCACCACACCTGGATAATTTATTTTTATTTTATTTTATTTAAACATAGGGTCTCACCATGTTGCCTAGGCTTGTCTCAAACTCCTGACTTTTGTGATCCTCCCACCTCAGCCTTCCAAAGCTACTGCACCTAGACTGGCTTTGGTGCTGTGAACCTCAGAGCCTCTGAGATGTGGGAGAGTGCAAAAGCTTTACACATCAATGCTTGAGTGACAGGAGAAAGATCTGTCCTTGGAGAGCCCTAGAGAAGCAGTGTAGCCCTGTCAGCCCAGGGGGCAAGCCTTCAGGTAGGAAGAGGGCAGCAAAGTGGTGGGGCCCAGCCCTTCTCTGTGTTTCCACTGGCCAGGAGTCTGAAAGGGCCCTCCTTCAAGGCTTCTGTCTAATAGTAGATTGCTGCACTGTGATTAGAGTCTAGTCAAGTCCTGTCCTTGGGGAAAGACGTGCTCATGTGGCCTCCATCATTACCAGGTGAAGCTCGTTCTATTCCTGGCTTCCCTTGGGCCAGAAGGGAGGCCGGGCCTAGGCCCAGACAGAAACCTGAGGACTCAGTCTGAATTAGGCTAGTGGGTGGACAGCAGCCCTCAGGGGCAGTGGGAAGGGAGTAGAGGACCTGCCCGGGAACAGTGGGTCCAGATGGTTATTTTGACTTGCTCCCAGAGCAGAGTTAGAAGTTGTAGCAGCCAAAACTCAAGTCATGTTGATGCCCACAGAGTCAGGAAGATTTTTCTCTGGCACTTCTGTGAGCTCAGGGGCCTGGGCCCGGTGACCCAAAACAGGCCCCTCTTCTGAAAGGCCGCCGTGCTCACTGACCTGTGTTCCTTTTCCAGGCAGTAGTGAGAGCTCAGAGTTTAGTGAAGAGATGTCTTCAGGGCTGGAAAGGTGAGTGTGGCCTCAGCGCGGCCTCCCTCCCAGGGAAAGGTGGTCAGGGACCGAGGGAACTGAAGACAGGCCCTGGCCAGGAATGACCCTGTCCCACCCACCCTACGCAGGCCTCAGGGACCTAGGTGGGAGGGTGGGAGAGCAGGATGGGTTGGCCCCAGCCCCCGTGCTCTGAGCAGCCCCTTTCCTCTTCTGAGCCAAGAGGCTCTTCCTCCAGCCAAGCTGCAGGAGACTGGGAGCAGATTTACTTTGAAATGTGGGTTCTTGAAATTGGAAGCCTGAGAATTGGCCTAGTCTTGAGATGGGCTGGTGGCTCCGCCTGGTGGGGTCCAAGAGTGTTGCAGCCACACGGCCTCAGGCCTTGGGCATTTGTTGAACACTACCCTGCTAGGCACTGTTGACAGGGAAGTGGCTACAGCTGCTGGCTCCCTTGTGGCTCCCTCAGCCAGGGCTTGGTCCCTTGATGAGCCTGTCTGCCACATGCCCCATGCCTCCTGCTCAAGAATTCTTGTCATACATGCTCCACATATTGGTGTTTTCCTGTGCCAGGCACCAAGCAGGGGACAGGAATGCTGTGAATAGGGTCCCTCCCTAGCCATGGTGCCACCAGAGGTGAAGGACACTCAAGGTCTGAGGGGAGGTGGGAAAATCCAGTGGCACAGAATGTCTGGAAAAGGCAGGTTTCCACCAGCATCCCGGTGCCTGTATGCACAAACACATGCACGCACAGTTTCACACACTCACACATACACATGCATGGCACACGCACAGTTACATACATATACACAATTATACACTATCACACATACACATGCACACTCACCCATATTACTTGTGTGCATGCTCATACACACATACACTCAGACACACATGTGGGCATATACACTTTCACATATGCACATACAAATGCATGCATTTGTGTATACTTACACAGTACATACCCTCACACATACACTTATGTACACACAAACATACGTGTGTGCATAAGCACTCATGTGCACACTCCTCTGGTGCTGGAGCTCCTGTCTCTTTAGTCCCCATAATTGTAAATGGACCAGAGAGAAGGTAAATGCTGCCTAGAGGCTCCAACAATGGAGTCCAAGGAGCTTCCAGAGGGGCTGACAGCCAGTGGTCGTGGCTGAGCATGGCCTGTGTGCCAGGAACCGTGTTGGCACATTCGTGCAGGGACTCACTGAATCCTCAGCACTCCTGCCCAGCAGCCATTCACACTGTCCCCTTTTTGTACTTGTGGAAATAGGGCTCACAGAGGTGACGTGACTCGCCTACTTCACACTCGTTGTGGTATGGGAATGTGGCAGAGCTGAGCCACGTTCATGGGTTCCTGACCTCTGAACCTGGCTCCTCGTCACTGCTTCACTCCTTGGCCCAATACAGGATTTAACCCCATGTTGGCTAGTTAGTTAGTCTGTCTGTCTGTGAAACTCAAGCAGGGGGTGGTGGGGATTGATAATGCATGAGCTCTTTGGAGGCTGTTTCTCCGGGCCCATCCCCTTCTCCACTGCTCAGGCAAACGGGCCCAGCAGCTTTCACCCAGAGAGCTACCTCTGCAGTGGGGAGGAGAACCAGACAGGAACAGGGCAGACTCCAGGACTCTCAGCACCCATTGGGGATTCCTGGGGACACATGGAGGGAGATGACTTGTAGGCAGGCCAGCACCTCCCCTGGCCACAGGCTAATAAGAGGACATGATATGGGAAACTCAGGCACAGATCCTGAGCAGCAACCAGACCTGGACCTATTTGCTCATTCATTCATTCTTTCACTTATTCATTTCTCCATTCACTCATTCATTCAATAACTGCTTTTTAAGCAACTGCTCCCTGCTAAACACTATGCTGGTTACTGAGGGTATAGCAGATATGGTTCCTGCTAAGTACTCATGAATAAGATTAGAACTGCTAGGAAGGAGGATGTGGAGAGAGAATTTCTTGCCCAGGAAGATGATACTGTACACAGTTCAGTCATGAACACTGTGAGCTGCAGCATTTCCTAGTGTCTAGATTACTATCCATCTGAATGTTTAGAGTAGGTGCTTTTTGGGATCTCCTCCAAGCACTGATCTCACGGCTGGCTCATTGGGGCAGATACTCAGCCCTGTCCCCCCAGCCCGCCCCTGCAGGGAGGATGTCCTGTTTCTCATTCTCTGGGGACCTAGCTCTTGGCCCAGCCCCATCTTGCTGAGGGAAGCAGGAGGCCATCTGCTTTGGAGGGCGCCAATGGCCCCTTGTGTCAAGATCCAAGCCCAGTGCAGTCCTGCCAAACAGACATCAGCTGCCCCTTGGTACCAGTCTCCATCTCCAACCTGCACTGTCCTGACAGAATCCACTCCTACAAAGGCGTGGGAGCATTCTAGGCTTTCCTGAAGGCACCATGAGAAGTTTCGAGGGGAGGATTTACCTCTTACAGCTTGAAAGTCTTTGTTGTTCTTTTCTTTCAGTTTCTTTCACCTTCACATTGCCTCTTGGATTTTACTCTTAACTTTAGTCCCTCTGGGTCCTCCCTCCACTCCTAAGTCTTCTTCAAGCTGAATCTGCCTGCTCTATAAAGGGGAGTAGATTCCCTCTTCCTCAGAAGCCTAAGTGTCAGTCTGCCTGGGCTCAGAGACTAGCTTCTGCACAGAAAGAGTCTCCCCAACACAGAAAACCCACCTGGTCCTTGATGCTGTCAGAATGCAGCTTTCTCTACAGGGTTATACCTGCTTGAGCAAACAGCGCTATGGTGTAGGGGAAGCCTAACCCAACTTAAAGGAATGAAGCCGTGAGAGAGAAAGAGGTCTGGCGAAGTGGGAAGCAACACTTTGCCCCACAGCTCTGAAGTTTAGGGACCACAATCTTTGATTACCAGCGTCCTCAACCACTAGCCCTGGTAACAAGCCTAGCCCAGGCTAGGAAGAGAAATAGAGCCAGATACAAGATAAAAGGCAGGGAAACTTCAGGCCACACATACCTCTAATGATTTGAAGCCACACCTTCCTTAATCACTGTTAATGCCACTGTTGACAGGCAGGCAGGAGAGTTTCTGTTGTCTGGTCAAGGGCAGGATCATTTGGCTCTGTCCTGTGTGTTTGCCTTGCCCAATTACACACATGGACATCTCAACCCAGTGGCCTGAAGATGGTCCTTGAGTGTCAGCCAGAGTTCAGATTGTAGGTACCCATTTTGTCCCCAAAGAGGCAGGTCCTAAAGAGCACCCACACCAGAGCCCACCAAGCCCCATGGATCCACTGTGCTGATCTCTGAGGATGGCCTGTCTCTTCTGGGACTACGGAGTGAGGGTGCAAGGAGCAAGGACCTCTTCTGATCCTTGTCATCCTCGTGTCCCTTCACTCTTGTAGCCTTGGCAAGGTCATGGGGCCTGGGGGCTTAGGGAGGGACAGCCAGACCCACGGAGGCAATTGCTGATCATTCCTCAGCTCCCAGGCTGCCCTAAAGATGCTCGCCTACACTCAGGGCCCAGAATGAGGACAGGGTGGTAGTCTTGCCCAAATTCTCAAGAACTGCAGAGCCATGGGGCGAGAGTGAGCCCACTCTTCTCTTATCAGCAGTTTTTCTTGCCTTATGTCTGGGGAGAATGGGGACAAAGGTAGAAGGAGAACCCCTAGCTCACTTTGCTTTTCCACGGAGTGGGGAGGCAGCCTTGAAAGCCATTTTAATTAACTGGAAAGTAGGGTCTTTTGGCTTGTGCCAGGCTCCTTGGAAATGAATGGGAAAGGGAGTGTTTAGTCAGATAGCAGGTACTTCTTTATGCCTGATTTGGAAAGCAAGTGTTGGCACTAAGGTGAAAACAACATACATTACAAAATACATTAATGTATTTTAAATGGACTTTTTAAAAAAAAGAACAAAATGGCTTGTAGAGATAAACATATGTATATGTGAAAATACATAATATCATTCATCTTTATTATTCTGAGTTGCAGGATTATTGAGTGAGGGTTTTCTTTTTGTTCCCGTATTCTCCAAATTGTCCACAATGGGTAAATGTTTCTCTTATACCAGAAAACAATCAACTTTAACTTATTAAAAGAAGACATAATCGGAAATGATTACTGATCAGTTTTTAATAATTGAAATATGAAAATGTATCACAAAGTTCATTATAAAACATTTGGCCACTCCACTGTCTTCCCTGGTTTGATGCCACCAATCTCTGTGGAAGTACCTTCCCATGTGAGAGACAGGCAGTGATTGGGGTGGGAAGACTAGGGGGTAGGGAGGGGACACTGGGAGGGCCTATGGTCAGAGGATGGGGAGGTGGCACATTACTCTTTCTTAAGCAGAGCAGGTTCCTCTTCCTACCCTGGAAGGGGTGGGGACACAGCAGGAAACTGAACAGAACTCAAAGTCTTAAACGAGCCATGCCAGGTTTACAGAGGATGGAAGGAGTCCTGCAGGATGCCATGGAATGTCCAATAGGGTTACCTGCATCAGGCTGCATTTGCAGGATGGCTTCTGAAGGAGACAATGGTTAAGCAGGGGCCCAAGGACATTTGGTGAGGGAGACCCTAGGGAGTACCTCAAGGGTGGTCCTGGGACCTGAAGAGCTCTGAGTCATGTACCAGGACAGGACAGGTGTTTTCCTGTGCTTCAAGCTCTGAGTCATGTACCAGGACAGGACAGGTGCCCCATGGCTGAGTAACTTTGAGGCTCATGCAGGAGAGATGGGCTCCATGGCATGTCCTGTTCTCTCAAGTTTTTCTGCACCTCAGCAGCGAGAGACAGGGTCAGCAGTACTGGGAGCGGCTCTTCAGGACCACTGACTCTCTCAGGCCCTCAGGTTCCTTAGTTCTTCAATGAGAACTGCATAGTGAACACCTAGCTCAGAGGTAAGAGTTATTATACCTGAGGAACTGATTGGGGGACTTTTATGAGTTTATCTCAATAGGTACCATTGACCAGCAAGAAAACAACCTAGGTGTCTAAGGCTGGGTAGGGGAGCAGAAATTTCCCCAAATGGCAGTTCAGTCATCATGGGATAGA